TCAGTTTGGTTGTTTGGTTGTTCGACTGCGTCTGAGGGCGGGCTACGGGAGAAAAGAAGAGCAGCGGAGCCACCTTTTGAGTGGTACGCGGCTGTAAGCATGTTGAAGCTGTCATGTGCCTGCTTTCGCCGGCACGGGACTCAGCTGACCCTGTTTGTGCTGACCAATCAGGGAGAGTTTTAACCTTCGTCTCGAATCTGAGACGAAGGTTAAGGGAGAAGAAGAAGGTTTTTTTTTCGTATTCCCGGCTTTTGAGGCATTCGTTGGTTCGTCTTGGATTTGAAGAGATTTCGTTCAACTTCGTCGTTTAAAAGTTACATTTCGTCAAGCTCTGAAAGCTTGGGTTCCGTTTTAAAGTTTATGTTTGTGCATCGTGTGCGCGTAAGATCGTTGGAGTAATATTTTTCATCGTAAGCAAGTTGCAAACTTAAACAACTTAGGTTTTCGCATATTATTTCTCCACCAGTTCTGTTTCGACAAAACTTTGCTGAAAGTTTGCAGGCTAGGCCTGATTTGCAGACCTAGTCATACCTACTAATAACCTACTAATAGTTAACCTACTAATTTGGTAAAGTATTGCAGTTGGTGAATATTTTCGATTAACGTTTCATAATCCGTCTTGGGACTTTCTCTTTTAAATTCTTAAACCCTTTTATAGTTCCCTTAACGTCCCAAAACTTGTTTCAGCAGACAGGTTTCAGCTGGACAAGTTCTGTCGAAGTTGGTTCAAGTTGAACACGTGAGAAAGTAGGAGTTTTAATTTTTTGTTTTTGGCTCAAGGAGCAGTTTTATTTTTAGTTTCAGTTTTCTCGTTTGTTTCTCACTTGGACAACTTAAGCCAACTTGTTTTTGTTCAATAAATTCGGACTCTGTGGGAATTAGGCTAGGCTAGGCCTATCTTGTACTAACCTTGTTTGTTGCAGGTTGACCACTTAACTCCGTAGGTAAGCGGGGTGACTACTTAGCTTACTTGTTGACTCGTTAAGTTAGCTAGTAGATTGTCACTTAGATATTTGCCCACAGAGTCAAGTTAAAATTATTAATTTCCCCACAAGCCCCAGACTAGAGTGGTGATTTCAAGTGTGGTGTTTGGTAACCCGCAACGTTCGTCTCGAGCTCTGATAACCAGGGCTATCAAATTTAGGCTATCCAAATCGCTATCGAATCCTGGGAAATTCCCCGCGACCAGACTAGGGCGATTCCTGGGATCTCGTTTTTCGTATCGGTGGCGTAATTTCTCACTTGTCGCCAGCCAGGAAAATTACGTCACAGTGAGATCATTCGAGAGACTAAGTGATGGAGGAATTGCTAACAGAAAACGAGTTTAACCGTAACCATACTCAGAACAAAAAGGAGAGAGCAGCAACCATCTGATGAAAGGATTGCATGTGAAACCCTATATTTAGGACTGTTAAGTGTACGAAAAACATCCTGAGATTCCTAAAGAAGGAAAATGTACTATGGAAGCCTCAGATAGATTGAATTAAAAAACCCAATAGAATACCAGACATTGAAGGTTCTTTGTAACAGAGTAAATAATTAATACTCCTTCGAATAAGCCACTTTTTGCTTTCTATCTCTTACATATAAGTTGGTAGTAAAAGCTTGGAAATAGAGGTAGACTTAGTTTTACAGAGAAAATAACACATTATCAGAACAAAACATATAGGGGTACTAAATCTTGTAATTAGTAATATATTTTACTTAAATCTACCTGAAGAACATATAGAAGGATCAAAAAGAAGTTACGACTTGTTCTGTTAAAGACAGCTTTACTAAAAAATCACTTTATTACCCTCCCTGTAGCAGCAAATCTAGGTACTCGTTAAACCTAACGTTATTGAAATAGATTTAATGGAAAATCAAATCAGGGAAATGGAAATTCGCTTAGTCTGCAGGTTTGCCGCAGCAGGTCTATTTTGTCATTTGTTCGTCCACATTGGCCCTTAAATCTGCACCTTCATTTGATTTGGTAAAATAATCGCACTTACTTCCTAAGCTACAATTTTATTTTGAAGGTTACTAATATCAAATAAGTTTTGTTTGTTGAAAATTTGTTATGAGGAAAATCATCAAAAGACATAAAAACCTAGGTGTAAAATAATTAGTCCAATACAATTTTCAGCTCAGTTTTTTAATGCTCTTCCATTCTATGGTTAGTCGTCAAATTAACTGCTTACAAATAAATAATTTTCTCTAATAGATTTACTTCATGAATAATAAAATGTATACTTTCAGAGAATCTTAAACTACTAAACTTATCTTATATCCTTTCAAACCACAGAGGAGTAAGGTACAGAGGAACCATTCAATGGTACACTTAAGTGGTGTCTAGAACTAGTGCTGGTGTCTAGGGAAACATCCCGCACCGCCCCCCCCCCCTCGGCATCATGTACTTCCCACGTTATCGGTGGTGGAAGACCCTGAGCCCTGTGCGAAAGGAATTTCCGCCCAGTGCTCTCCTTTCGGCTCTTCCTTACTTGTCACAAGTACATTTCCGCCACAACATACCAGAGCTGAAAGCTCACGGTTGTCCCGATAAGCTAGATTCCTCTATTCCTTACTTCTCTGCGTTCAAACAGTTTTAAATTACTGATAAAAATATAATCAAAGTACTAAATCAAAAGGAAATTGTTAATTATGGTTATCTCTTTCTAAATTCATTGAAATTTCAAAACAATATTAACCTCTAGCTCTCTAAACAGTAATGAATAAACATACGTATCACATTATCTGGTAACTTATACGCATAGCTGCAAACTAAATAGGAAAATATATATTTCAAATACCACATCTTATCACCAACTAGCGGACCTTGCATAACTAATAGTGCAGATTAAAAATAAACACAATTTAACACTCAATTCACAACAATACAGTCACATTAACAGTTGAGAAACAGAGTTAGAAATTTATAATAGACAACCTTAAAGCTCCAACCAGCAACAAGACATAACAATAAATATATATTTGAACATTCAATTAGAAATTGGAAAATCATTCGACACGAAAATGTACACTTACAGATAGATAAAAATACATAAGCAATACAACACCGTATGTACATAGATAGGCCATTGACTTGCTCTTATTGAACGCTCTGTGCAGTGTGGAAGAAGAGTCCAGAAGAGTCCTTACTCAGAATTAATAAAAAAAGGAAAAAATCTGATGCAATTTGTAATTTGTTTATACTCTTTCTGAACCATTTATGAAATCTTTAAGTTGTAAAATGTGTGGAAGTAGTTATTTTTTGTGGAAATTCTAAGTAAAAGCAAATAAAATATTTATAAAACATAAAACAAAGTCAAATAAGGAATAAAATGTGATTACTGATTTAGTGAAAAAATATATAAACTTGTGCAACATAGCAAAAAGTATTTTGTACAAACATTACCAATTAGTATCATTTGGCACATCCGTAAACAACATTTTTTTGTCTTATTCAGATTTCAAATCTATAAAAAATGTTTCAACCAAAAAATTTCCAACGCTAGAGTTTTGAGAAAGGAAAACACAAAGCTGAGTGCACCTTGGACGGTCAAGTTTAGAAAAATATTCGAGATATTTTGATAACATACTACAGTCTTAAGTAGGCTAGTTAAAAATTTACCTAATTAAACTATAACAACTACATCTCAAGAACAAATATACAGCTAGAGCCTTATGTCTTGAACCATTAATCTATATTACACAGTTTTACATTGTATAAAATTAACATCTTATGCTTGAGAAGGAAAACTTAAGAGTCGGCAGGAGTCAATAATTTTTCTTTGTTGTTGGCCGTCAGATGCCAGGCTAAACAATGGTTGTAGCCTTGATCAGCAAAACATTCGTTCACGTTGAAGCATAATAATCATGCACCGTAAGCTTGATTACTGGGCAGAAAATTTTATGTGATTCTTAAATATATGTTCCGTGTGAATTGCTTTTCGGATTTTTAAAACTTGTGGGAAAAATCACAGTTAAGTCAATATATTTATGTAGTTTGACAAAATAATAACAATTAAAATTATAAAAATAGATAGGCGAGCAAATCACATCCGTGGTTTCAATAGCTTTAACATGATATATTTTGCAACTTTTTATCTTAATAAACCATGCCGTAATATGCTTGAACCATTAACATTGCAGTTATGGGCTGAAAATCCAAGATGGCCGGTGGTCCTGCCGACTCTTAAAGCGCTGTTTGTCAAAAGTTTTAGGGACCCTGGTAAATTTGGTAAAAATAGTTAATTTAAAACTGACTAATGTTTATTTTCTGTTTGATTTTCTTATGAAAATCAAACAGAAAATAAATTAATGAAAAAAGTAAATTAATGAAGTGATCAATCACAAATTTTTGGACAAGAAATTCTTCAACTGATTCCCATGGATAGCAGCTTAAGAGCAGAGTTTGTACACAATCCAAGAATTAAGAAATTCAACTCAAAACCGAATTGTAATAGGGGAAATTAAATTATTAAATTTTAGAGTAAAATTTAGTAACTATAAATAATCCTGCGTTTATTATATAGGTACTTCAGTATTAAACGGAGGCCACCTAACCTACAGAAATATTTCGGACCGGATACCAAAAATAACTACATACTTGGAAAGAACACACTTTAATAGATTAACAGGTGAAGTTTAGAATTAATCCGACGCCTGGTTCTGTCGTTGTGCAACCCAGAACGCAGCAATGTCGGTAGGCCACATTTTGTCAGCGCGCTGCGGCGGTTATGTTAGGTTGGGTTATCATATGAATTGAACGATACCAGACGAGTTATACTTTCTATTATGATAACCCAACCTAACATTACCGCCGCAGCGCGCTGACAAAATGTGGCCTCCGTTTCAGACACAGGGACAGGCGATGACAGGTAATGGCGCGCGCTCCGGTCAACGACCCTGACCTTGGCCTACTTGGAGGGGATTCTGCGAGTAGACACATGACTCATCTGATGATAACGCTCGACTCACAACAATACTAGAATAGTTCTACTACAACATCTATAACAATTTAACCCTCTATAAGTGCCGCGGCGCGTTTCGTAATGGTGGCCTCCGTTTAATACTGAAGTACCATTATATAATACTTCACGAAGTTAGAAATAGCTTATGATATGATAACTAACATTTGATTAGAACATCAAAAGCATCTCAAACTTATGCTTTTGTTAAAGCTATCTTGGTTTTTCAAAATAAATCAATGTATTTAACATTCAAAAATTTTACATTTAATGTAAGAAGGTCAATTCAGTTCAAACAAAAGTTACAGTTGAATTACACCAGATATCTTTTGATAAATCAAACAGTGCTCTAAAATTCGTGAATAAACTTTGAAGACATTTAAAAAGTGGATGTGTTAAAAATTATCCCTGTAAGCTTTCATAAAAATACAATAAACAAATATATTCCTTAACCTGGTTGATAATCGTTCACCATTTACATTTTTTATAAAATAAATGAATCCTCATTACATTTTTGCTAAACAATAAATAGCATACAGTTTTATACACAAACCTTAGCACTCATTTGTGTATTGGTCGATGGATTTTACAAAATAGCACAGTAACACAAATAATAACTCTTAAACACAATGTTAGACTATACAAGTAATTCAGCGTCTATTTACACGTTGCTCTACACCCTGTAAAGACATAGAGTAGAATATTTGTACGTACAACACAACCGCAGTTTGATAATTTCCGCTGTACAAAGAAGGGAAGTAGAGAAAGACATGTGGTCGAGAGTGGGAAGTTGGAGTCAGTTGGGTTGAGGAGTCGGGGAAGACGAACAGCTTCGACTGAGACCACGAGACGGCTCCGCAGTGAGGAATGCTCCGGACTTAGGTCGCTCCGGATCCGATGTTCCGGATGACTCCGGCGGGTCCGGGCCTGGAGTGGGCGTGGGACAACGACGGTCGCACGGTGCTATCAGTCCACTCATCGCAGTCAGGGAGATGCGGTAGAGTCTGAACGGACGAGCCTCGGGAGACACTGGAAGAAAATGTTTGAATTATATGACAAATATTTTTTTTTAATAAAAATACTTTTGGGAATGAGAACATTATTTATCTATGTCAGTAACAACGCTACTGCCCATTCTAAATTCATATTACTAACACAAATAGGTAGTTAGCTGAGTGGTTATAGTGCTTGCCTAGCCATCAGCAGGTCACCAGTTCGATCCTGAGAAAAGTTAGTAACTCTTTAATGGTTCGAAATTGGACCCAGCTGTCCTTGATCTTTGGGCTTTTGATAAGCGACTACGACTAAAGGAACAGCTGATCTTAGTCAGCAACAAAGCTACGCAGATAACCCAGACTGAATTCATATTCAGCTTAAAACATGCAACTCAAAATACGTCGCTGTTTCAAAAATTTGATAAAATATTCAACTTAAAATTTGTCTACAGAAAAAGTTACTGTCTTAGTGAATTGATTTTGTGATTCGATATCAAAACAAATCAACACATTTTAAGGGTTATACCTAATGATTAATGTACCTTAACGTAATATTGTTTATGTGGTAATATTCACCCATATATTAAAAACAAAACTTTAGAAAGACAAAATTATAATATAAGTCAGGTATGGAGTGCAACACATGATTTCTCTTTTAGCTTAGTTTGGTAGAAGAGGGTATTGACAATACCCCTATACTTTTTTTTGCTAGGTTTTAGTCTGGAACTGCTTATACACATTATTCCAGGCTAGACCTAGAGTGTTGCAGTATTTTCACTTAGATAAACCCATTTGGTGATTGGAATTGAACCCAGGACCTTTGGGACCGAAGCTTGCTCCTCCTATACTATAGATGTAAGTCTTCATGCCTTGGTTTGTTTGCGTTGGAAACAAACTAAGCAACATGCGCTGTTAAATACTTAAAGGGTATAGACTATTATTGAAGAACCAGTTCCCTTACAATGTGGTGAAGAAGGAGGAGATATACTGGGATCTCTGTCAATTTTGTGGTCGACATGAAGCCTCTCCGCTCGGCTCTGGAAGAATTCTGGGGCTGTCGTAGCGAAGAATATGTCATTCTGTGACAAAACAGTAAAATATACTTGTTAAATAATCAAACTAAATCCAGCTTTTAGCTAACTAACAGTTTTTTTTTCATATTTAATCTTTTTCAGTTTTCGATTTTGTATTTTTACATCAGTTAGTAAAAATTATAAAGAATGAGACTTGAGGAAGATTCAGGGGACCGGGAGAATTGGCGACAATGCGTTCGCGAGGTACCAGCTAGGGTACAAGTGGCCATGGTAGGAATTAAGTAAGTACATCAGTTGTGTTAAGTACGTTTATTAAAAGGAGCCCAAACACTGTTCTTTTTGATTTCCTGTTGAAAGCATAATTAATTAACAGCTCAATCTTAAACGGTAACAATCCAGGTATTTTGTCATATATGCAAGACATATTATCACTCCATTTACCTTATTATCATTTGATTTACTTGTAGAAGCCACTAAATACAAAGTTGGATGGTGTATAATCACAAAAAGTAGTATATAATCAAAGGAAAGCCATTACTAAAGGTCGGCCGCTTAGAAAACGACCTGCGCAAAATTTTTAGCGCATGTAGGGGAGGTATGTTCCCCCTCTCCGCCAATGGCCGTTTTCACACTGCACGACATGACACCGGCACGACACCGACACGGCGCCGCCCCGGTGTCGTGGGAGTTGGAATCCTGTGTTACCAAATGGAACTGCTTACACAATGATATAATAACATTTCATGATGCTCGAATATTGATGTGATTCAGGCTAAACAATATTTTTTGCATGACCTATTTTTCTTAAGTTATGAAGAACGTAATTGTCTACATTTTGATCAGCTGTATAATTTAATTGCTGTTAATATGGGGTGGGGCGGCAGCAGAGTGGGGGAAGAGCCATAGTCTGTCTCACTCCCACAGCTCATTATCTCTCTCTCGCACCAATGCTACGAGGAGGACGCTTTCTAACCGGCCGACCTATAATTTATCTTTACAGTATCAGAAGATTACTTGATCACACAAAGTAACAGTATCACATCATAAAAAATAACAGTACAAAATAATAGTTCCAACAAAGTAACAGTACCTTGGGACAGATAAGGGTGAGCTTGGGCATGGCCATGTGTTGTACCAGGTTTCCGTTGATGATGAGACGAATCTCCATTGAGTCAGAGGTGAAGGCGAGGATGTATGGGAAGGCACAAACTGTTAAAACAAAGCAAGCTGTCAAATTCAATTCACAACAATCGAGAGAATGTTACTCAGTTTTTGATTTATAATCAAACAACTTCTCAATATTGTTTCTTTGAAAATATAACTACCTTATACAGAACCTTTATGAACCTAAACTCAGACCGGAACAGACAAAAGTATTGAAAAAATAATAGAAATTGACAATAACGAGTAGGGTAGAATATTTTTCAATGGTTAAGGAAGATTTAAACATAAAAATTACCTACAAAATCATATTAAAACTGTTACAAATACAGAATGGCAGTCAATCAAGGTTTTTCTGTTTGGCAAACAACTACCCTAGTATTTAAACTTGAAGAACAATGACGCTTTAGACAAATTTATTATTCAATCTCTAAATTTAAAATCTAGGAGATAGGGTAAATAGTTAATGACTTAAAATTTCTATTGGAGATTTAAAGTGGATATTCAATTTTACTTGATACTAATTACTCACCAATACGAGAAGGAATTGTGTTCCAATGGAAGTCAAACTCAGTACTGCTGGGTGAATTACTCGACAGCTTTTGAAAGTGGCAAGTATCTGGAAAAAATTGACCTTTAAATATTTTTTGTTATCCCCGTTTCATGAACTTGAATGATATTAGATTTACCTTACACAACTGTCAAACAGACCAAATTTCAACCCTCCCAGTTGAAGAAATGAAATGGAGGAAGAAAGACCTTGCGGTGTGATCCTGCTGTGTACAGGTAAATATTTTTGTAAATATAGACTTTAGTTTTAGTGATGAATTTACAAGGAGACCCCTGATGATGCAACACAAGGTGGTGAAATTCATAGGGTGACACAAACATCTTACCTACAAGAACTCACAACAACAAATAAAATAGTTGAATTTATTGTTCGTAATGCAGCTGAAAAAAAAGAACATCTAAAGGAGGGTGTTTATAGGCGGGGAAGCGAAGCGCAAAATGCAGAGTGTGGATAATATTTTCCACTCCAGTGGCTGTCCACTTCGCTTCTAGGAAATCAGTACCATAATTTCAATAATTTCAATCAATACCATAATCCTTAAGAGTACTTGGAGCCTAGACGTTCTAACTCAGAAAACAATGAAAGACCTACAAAGAAAATTTCTAATCCTACAGTATACTATATATTTAAATTTCAATCACTCTGGTGTTTGAAAAAATATTTTTGAACAGTAAATAACTCTTTAGCGGCTGTTTGAAATTAACAAAATTAACATTGCTCTTATGGCGGGCAAATCTAGATGGCAGTTTGATTCCATGGACTTGGAGAACAATTCAAAACTACAATGAACATTTCTAAACTCACAGTAATCTAAATATTTAAATTATAGCCACTTTGGTGTTTGAACAAATATTTTTAGATGATAAATAACTCTTCAGCAGCTATTTTAAATTATCCAAGATGGCCGCTAGCCTTGAAGGAATCTTAGGAAAACTAGGTTCTTCGGCACCTAAGAAAATCCAGATTAAATGAAAAAAAAAATAAAAACTACATACTCTAATTTAACTAAATACATTGTTACTGGAGCATTCATTTCAAACAATTGAAAAAATATTAATCCTCTGCTTACTGTTGTAGCACAAAAGCAGCTCGGGTTCTTCATCTTCATAGAGGTCAATGGCAGCCACAAGGTGACCTCTGGTGGAGTCTTGGACGCTGAACAGATGAGAGACTTCGCCCGTGCGCTCGTTGACGATGTCGAACTGGCTGCGATAACCCACACAGATGACGTTGTCTCCCGTTGCTCCAGTGAGTCCTGCACCTCCCAGTGATGCGTCCACTAGGGTCATCAGCACTGGGGTGTCATTTACTTGGAACTCCTACGGAAATGTCAAGCGGTTAGACCAATGACCACTCGGTTAGTCAACAAAGGCAATTTAAGGTCTCTGGACGTGGAAGATAATATATCATGGAACTCAAAGGGGTAAATACACTCAATGTTGCAACACAAACCAATTTTACTTAAGTAGTACTATAACAGGGATAAGGATCAGCTAGCTTACCTAGTAGATAGTAGAAAGAGTCCATATTATCTTTGGTAACACACACAAAACACATAACATAAAACAGTAAAACTTAAAATTTAGTCCCTGTTAGGGAATTCATCAGAAGGGAGAAGAAAAGAAGACACTTGTTTACGAAAGAATATTCAGATATAATTCTTTAGAAAAAAGTATCATAGAACATTTTTCTCATGCAATCTGTTCTTGGAATGCTGCTTCGAGAATAATATTTTAATGAAATAATTATAACTCATTGTATATTGTACCTAAACAGTTTTTTGCGTAGTTCCCTTTTCATCAGTAAATAATATTCTGTAGCCATCGTCAATACCCAGTCTTAATTCCTTATGGAATAGGAAGAGATCAAGATTATAAGAAGTTTAATTTTTTCTATTTACCTTGAGATACTGGAAGCCTTCTACTGTATCCGTATCACTAGCAGGACACCAGGCAGTCCATGCGGCAGAGTGGCGCCATTGCATCAGTAGTAACTTGCGACCCAGGCTGACAACCTGACAACAACAAATATCCCATCACATCAACCCTATCACATATTATAAGAAAATAAGACAACTCTTAAAATAAGACAACCAAAGAAAGTACTGGAGAACAACCCAGAAGGAAGAAGACCCCTTGGTAGACCGAAACTGAGATGGTGGGACCAAGTAGAAAGGACATAAGAAAACTGGGAAGAAGGAAGGAGGACGCAAGATGCAGAGATGTATGGAGGCAGTGTGTTGGGGAGGCCCCGGCCACAGCAGTAAGTAAGTATGTATACATCTTAAGAGATATCTATGGTACGGTCAATCCCACGGTGCAGTTCAGGTTTTATGGATGGTCATGCTATCAGAATTACTCTAAAATCATGGTTTTTTTTCCTTGCCCCTTGTGACAACTATCCTTGCGACGCTTATTACATTTACTTAGTTCGGTAACTCTATAGATTCGAATTTGACTTTGCTATAGTAAAAATTAGTACAGTAGTAAAAAAGCATAGGAATAAAGTCAAAATGACAGTATCCATTATGGTTCTGATGTTTTTAGGACGACTGTTTTTTGCGACTCCCGTTTAAAGACATGATTTGTTAGTTAATTTATTATTTTAATTAGTTAATTACTGCACAATGAACGTTTAACTGAGTATAGATCAGGTGGCACACATACCATGCGTAGATGAGAGCCTCCAGGTCGACTGATCGCGTACAGACAACAACCTCGGGTTTTGTCCAGCCGATGTTCTTTGAGGTCCGCTCTTCCTCTCGTACCAACCTCGATGTCTCCCTCGAAATCCGACAGACGAAACACGTGCATCTTGCTGTCTCTTCCTGAAAACATTTAATTTATTATGTACAGTTATTTATTTACATCTTGTTTTTGGTCATGCTTTGCAACAGGGTGTGACAGACATAGTTTTTTTGTTTGATCTACTCCAGAGAAAGTACGTTTGAGTATAAAGTATTACCAGAAGTTCGTGAAATCCTGTATTAGGTATTTTTTTTATTATTAGGTATTAGATTTTGCAATTACCTTTGTCCGCTCTGAAGAGTAAAATGCCATGAGCCTCGACAACGCTTAGCTGCTTGACTGAGATACTTTTGTCAAAGATTTGCTTGTGAGAAACTCCATCTGAAAAAAATACATCCAGATAAAATACTTCTGTGGTGCATTCAATATGCTATTTAATCCCTGTTTAGGTTGTGTCAAATAGAATGGTATGAAGGAGGGAAGAGGGAAAAATTCCTAGAACTTTTTCATAGAGTAGGTTGAGGAGAAATCTTTTCTTATCTTTTATTTGTGTATCTATTATTAGCCCCTTGACTAATTTATCAGGTACACTAGCTGAACACCCCAGCCAAAACCTTTCCTTCAAAATACAGTATGACTTGACTTAGTTTCTTTCTTCCCGAGGGGCTGCAAAAAAAGCCTTCCACCACACTTGATTCTGGGCCATTCTCTTTACTTTGCCCCAGCTCTTGCCTTCTTCTTCGATTTCTTTTTGTACGGATCTTCTCCAAGTCATCCTTATGGTCTTCCTCTCTTTCTTTTTCTCTGAGGGTTCCGTTCAAGAGCTTGCCTGGCAATGTTGACATTTGGTCTTCTTAGTGTGTGGCATATCCACCCAAACGTTCTTTTCTTTATTATGTCACCAACCGGACTTTCTTTTGCTCTTCTCAACAGCTCTTTTGTTATTCTTTCTAGCAAAAACACGTTGGGTATTTGTCTGGGTCATTAGTTGATGAAAACAACATTTGTGATTTTATTACCTGTTTAATTTTTGGGCTTTTTGGTGCAGTCTAATTTTAAAATCAAAATGGTCTTTTTTTCTAACCGTTTGTAACCAAAACTTTTTAATTTAAAATTCTCTGATACTAATTAACTAATTATTGTTTCTAAATAAAAATGATCTAACTTTTTACTACTAGAACTTTTACATATTTTACTATAACTTCAAAATCCTACCTTCTACGAGGTAAACGCCTACATCAGTAGCTACAATCAGTTTTGCGTCGCCCCACGAGTCTCCGCACGTCACCTCATGGCTGAAGTCCGGGTAGAAACATTGAGGCTCCCAGGGCGCTCGTTTGAACAGTCCAGTCGTCGCTAGACTTGTGGGTGCGTCGCCTTTCACAATGGTGTCCAACTTGAGCGCTTGTCCGATCCTGACAAACTCTACCTGTCGAGCTTCCTCACGTCTGCGCGACCCTCTCGGTGGGTCGGAGAGCACATCGCTGAACGTGCGGCGATTCAGCATCGGCTGAAACATTGAAATATTAATTATTCAAAAGTATGCTAATGCTGGATCTACTTATTCTGTGGAGACTTAAAAGGGTTATGACAAAAAACAACTTTCAAGAATATAAAAACAACAAGAGTTTTAAAATCTTCAAAAATCAAATTTGAGTTGAATCACCCAATTTAAAAAAAAAAAGGAATCGGTAACTTAAATAAGCGGTTGAAGCAAGTTACCATATGTGTGCTGCTTTTCCCCGAATCGCCCATGTGCTCCGAGTACAGATCCTTAATGAGCATATCTAGAGTCCGTTCTCTCTTCTGTGCAAACGTTGGAGTGTTGAAGGCTGCCTTTTCTCCGTTGATTACTGAAACATATTTTAAATTGCTCAAAAACAGTCCACAGCCCTGATATCTTATAATAAATCCTGGAGATTCTTCAAGAACAGTTAAACATTACTACATTTCCAATCTACCACTCTTATCCTTTATCTTCCTCCATCCGGAAGAACGTTAGAGAATAAGCCTAGTAACTGAAAGTATCAATGTTATAAGTTATACATTAGAAGCTGTAAAATCAAGCTAAGCAACTTAATAACAGACTCAAACAATTTGACAAAACGTTGATCCAAACAGGGAAAATTGAAGGGAAAAATGTTTAAAAGACATTAGTGAATAGTGTTGAATTACATTTGACGATGAGGAATTCCCGGAAATCCTGGGCCTCCCTGAACACCGGAGGACACGGGAGAGATGGTCCAAAAAGAGGAACTGACTCTTCCGAGTAGACATTGAGTCTGTAGCCGTGATCTTCCTCGGAGTAGCTGACAACGGCAAACACATCTGAGTGGGGTTGAGGAAATATTCACTTCGAACCATCTTTATTTGTACTTGCACAACTTTGTACAGCCAATAGCATAATTCCAAGTATCAACTACACAATCTCAAACATCTCTTAAATACTTGATGAATATTTACAAGTTAGTGAACATAGAAGCACACATCTATTGTTTCAAGAGTCAACAAAATTAAGTTAGTCATTGCGTCATTGGTTAAGAAAAAATAGATAATGTTTAAAATTATTGCAACTGATTACTAAGTTATTGCTGATAATTTCTCACTTTTAATAGAAAACCGTTATAAATAATATTTTACTAAGCTATCGTGTAAGTAATATTCCTTGTTTGATTGCAGACATTGCAGTAAAGGATACGAGTAAACTGGGACTTGATGAAGGAAGGGTTGAAGTGGATCATCTCTGCAGGTCCTCCGTCTACGTACACGATGTTGACTATGTCGTTACCTATGTGTCTCTTGCGCTCTACCTGTGAATACAGAACCAAATGTGAGAAAAATTGTCTCCTATGAGGACATTGTCTTTGTTTTAAACTAGTATTTCACCATGGGAGTGTTGAGAATGTGTTATGAACCTAAAGTCAAGCTAATAAAAGTCTTCTTTGATAACTATAGACAGAACCATTACCTACTATTTGTTATTTGTTTCTTGCAATCTACTTGCGAGTACAAACCAGAGGAAAATTGTCCAACATAAGCTTGTTTTGTCCCTAAACAGTGAATCTTATTACCTGGAATTTAGGTTGTATTAAACAAAATTTGTATACAGTACTATTGAGACATTGATTATACATAGTCATTGGTAGTAGTTTAGAAACAACAAAATGCTTTGTGTTTGAGATTCTATCCTCTAGATCAGTAATCAAGAAAGATCTAAATGAAAGCATAGCCTCCTCTAACCCAGGCCGCGGCGTTGGTGCGTGGCAACAGCGCAACGTTATGCCTATTACCACCGTAATAATATAAATAACAAAGGTGTAAACATAAACATTTCCTATACTGTCCGTTATAAATTGGTGCAACAGCTGTTTCAGTTTAACGGGACAGCGGTGTTGCCACTTTTGTCTCGACGCAGCCTTGTATTAGAAGAGGCTATGATGAAAGTGTTCCAAAGTTATACTTGAACTATACCTTTACACGGTTGGAGTAAAATTCTTTATTTCACACACTGTAATTCACTCAACGAGAAGGTTTATTAATTTTTAATCAATGTCATCTTATTTATGTTGTCAAAACACTTTAGAGAATTTTACCGCAGTTCTAGACACAGAGAAAATATTTTGTGTTTTAAAATTATATTTATTTATTCTGAGATAACTTGTAAATATATTTCATAGTAAGATATATTTCTGGGAAGTTACCTGTTGTCGGTTATCTTTCGAGTATGGTAGGAGCGTTGAGACATGAAACATGATTTCGTGGCCTTCGTATATTGTATAAACCGAATGTCTTCCAGTCATATCTCCTGTAAAAAATAAAAATAATACAACTATTAAACAACTATTATAATTTGATAAAACCTCAAAGGATCATAATGAATCAATCATAATGATAGCCAAAAGATATTCATTTTCTTTCTGTTTTACAAAGATTTAACAATGTATTTTTTTCAAATTTGATTGTTAAAATATTTAAAGTAAATTTTTAATAAAATATTCACAACGAGACCTACTTACTTTTTTACATTTACTAATTACACTTTTACATTTCTATTTATACGTACTACACAATTGGTACATTTTCAACATTGTAGCTTTGTAGAGTGAATAAATAACTTTTTCCTACAGTTACCTAACAATGTACATGTTCTCTCACTGATTTGAGAAAGCAAAGTGGCCAATTCGCTCATCAGTGAGACAATGTTAACATTGTCTCACTCTAATTACTTTGTCTCACTCCAGATTTGCAACGTGAAGGCACGAAATAGTGAGCGCGTAACATGCAGGCAACGTCGTGTGCGCGCGAAGTACGTTGGCAGCACTGGCTGTAAATCAGCTGGTCAACTGTTGTACTGTTGTATTTGTCACTTCACATTAAATGTTATATTAAAAGTTCACTTCTGTGTAAAAATAGGTTATGTTTGAAGAAACATAAGACCAATTTATTTGTTTTATGGTAACTGTAGGAAAAGTATAATGTGCAACTCGAGTTCAAAGTACAATTGCCTCACTCGAGAAACCATTCCTCACTCGCCTACGGCTCGTGAGTAAGGATTTCTCTCGAGTGAGTCAATTGTTCACTTTTCTCACTAGTTGCACAAATAACTATTTCCTACAGTTACCTAACAATGTACATGTTCTCTCACTGATTTGAGAAAGCAAAGTGGCCAATTCGCTCATCAGTGAGACAATGTTGACATTGTCTCACTCTAATTACTTTGTCTCACTCCAGATTTGCAACGTGAAGGCACGAAATAGTGAGCGCATAACATGCAGGCAACGTCGTATGCGCGCGAAATACGTTGGCAGCACTGGCTGTAAATCAGCTGGGCAGCTGTTGTACTGTTGTATTTGTCACTTCACATTAAATGTTATATTAAAAGTTCACTTCTGTGTAAAAATAGGTTATGTTTCTTCACCAAATTATTTGTTTTATGGTAACTGTAGGAAAAGTATAATGTGCAACGGAGTGTTGTATATCGTTGTGTGCAACTCGAGTTCAAAGTACAATTGCCTCACTCGAGAAAGCATTCCTCACTCGCATACGGCTCGTGAGTAAGGATTTCTCTCAAGTGAGTCAATTGCTCACTTTTCTCACTAGTTGCACAAATAACTATTCCCCACCAAAAGAATTTAAGAATCAATTTTGTTTACATTCAGCTTACCTTTGACGTCAAGACCACCTCTATACTTGTCCCAGCCTTTTAATCTAACTTTATCACCCAATAAACTAATAAATCTGTCGAACTCTTCACTACCAGTCTCTGAAACATAGTAAAACATGTTTTAGTATTTATAAACCAGAGAAATAAATGTTTTGAAATAAAAGAAATGTATATGCCTACTTAAAATACTTTGATTGACTTGTAGGTAGGCTATATAGTCACTTGGCATTGAGAAAATATTGTACGCAGTAGTACCATAACCTTCATAGCAAGTCTGTTAAGGACTAGGAGATTATAAAATAAGATTTGTTATCAAGGCAGATCCCTTAGATTTGCAATAAAATTCAATTATTGGTAAAACAAAGTCGAGGGTGGTTATTTAAAAATTATGCTTTTCATCAAGCGTGACTTGCTACTAAGGATCTTGTTATCGAGGTTCCACTGCATAATATATTTAGAAGTCCAATCCTTGATATCAATAGGTATATTTTTTACAAAACTACACATATTTTAATACAAAACAGACCATTACCTACATTTGTACAGTACATATACAGTATTTAAATAACATACTACATATGTACCACAGAGATTAACTTTTTAGTATTGTGAAAAACATACAGGTAGTTTTGAAAATATTTTTTCCTTTGAGGTTTTGTTTAGTTTTATTTCAATACCTCATTGGGTAAACATACAGGGTTTTTTCATTGAGCTTATTTTTAATAATTGACAATTCATAATTATTTGTAACACATAATTAAAGTTTGTAATTTTATATAACCACATCAAGACAGTTGCATGTTCCGGTTTTATTAAATTGAAAAGTTTACTTTGCGATTTAACTTTGCAATAAACTCATGATTTTAAAATTCATCTTGCAGTTGTTATATATTTCACAACCAAAAAAATTCAGAGAATGCTGCTATAAGCACAAATATCTTTTACAAAATAAATATTTTTAAGTGGTACAAACCATTACTGAACATTTCGTCGTCACACACTTGAGCGGGTTTGGTGTACAGAACACCGAATTTGAAATTGACGGATCCTTCTTGCTCCTCTAGTAGGAGTAAGTCCTGAAAATATACAACATATTTTATTTAGTCTTTTGTCTAAACATGCTCGAGAGTTCATTTAGTGTAACAAAAAGTTTTATTTTAATATTTTCTGAATAGCGAGTGGCAATGGTCAAATCTAAAGGTCCCTGGTTCAATTCTGTACTCAAAAGTTACCTGTTAATAGTGATACAATTATGTTATCCGACAGGTCACAAACCTTAAGAAAACAATCAAATGTTATTGCCTATAACATGTATTACTAAAAGAATTTTCTTTAAAGATTTTATGTCTACTTTACATAATAAAATAGTTTGTACTAAAAATTAAAAATTTAAAATCCTTACCTTTTGAATATCAGGTGAGAAAATCTCCTTTGGTCCCTTTTCAAGCTTTTCCATGTTAGGGAAATTGCTGAAAACAAAGTTCTAATATTACAGAACTCTCAAATTAGGCCTATAAAATTTTCTTGGGACAGCGTGGATTAAGATTATTACCCTTATGTTGAAACCTGATACTGTAAAAATTAGGAGTTGATTAGGACTATTTTCTCTGACTTTTTTTTTCGTAAAACATTTGTAGGATTATTATCAGATGACTCAACAGGAAATGTAAGAAAGGTCGGTTTTCTAAAGGAACTACACATAATGGCTACCAATAAGAAATGCATGCTGCTTGTACTGAAGCCATGAATATACCAAAGCCTAACTTCTCTTTGCTCTGGGCTCAATTCAATGGGGTAGGATACCTTCTTTCGTCATTTTACTTTAAGGCAGGATACAGTTACCCTAATGTATTCGCTGTTAACATTTATTGAGCATTAGTAGGTAACGAATTAATTTCATCAATATATTTTGGTTACAGGCTTGAAAATAGCTTGTTAAAATTACTCATCGTTTGTTTTTATCAATTAACTAAAATGATAATTTTCATATAAAAGATCAAGTTAGGGTGACAATGTATTTTTGGCTAAAATTTAAATTAGGTTTTACTTTACGCATTTAAAAGTTTAAAAACATAATAAATATTTAAAGAATTTCAAAAAACATCTTATATTAAATATAAATATTTATGTACTTATTAGGTGACTATTAAAGCTCTGTGGTATTTATTTCATTTTTTTGCAGGTAACTAAGGCAGTTTAGACCAATTCGTAAGACTCTATCTTGAAAGTGTTGACTTCAAACATATGTTCAACTTCACATGTTCATATGAACGAATTGTTTATCCATACAGGATAGAAACAGCCAACAATAGTAACAATATGAAATTATGTTATAGTTCGGCCGCTTAGAAAGCGACCTGCGCGCTAATGCTAAACCAATGCTAGAGGAGGTCGCTTTTTAAGCGGCCGAACTATAGTACATTTATTTTCCAACATACTTAAACTGTATAAGCAATTATTATGTACTAGGGGCCCATTGCAGCTCAATTGTAAAAATCCCCCTTCACCTCCCTTGAAATTTGGACTTAACCATTTCCCTATGCTGTGCACCATTCCTAAATACTCTCCTTCGAGTCGCAGGCTGTCTTCCCCTAACAAGATACCTTTCAACACTGAATTATCATTCCAACCTAAACACTAAAATCAATAAACAAACAAATACACAATGTTTTCATCAGCTGGTATATTCAAAACAGCTTATAGAAACACTGTAGCAGTACTGCCATTAGAAAATGGCAGGATCTTTGACAGCATGTGGGGCAGGGTTGGTGTAATTTTTGACACTGTCCTTATGAACCTTAAGCTTTAAAATCAATCCTCAACAGCCATGCTACCTTTTTCCTAGCTCGAGATATTTTGTGGGGACCGATTTGCTTACGGAATTAAATATATATAGATAGATGGATAGAAGATAGAAGATAGGAGATAGAAGATAGATTAAGATTAAGACTGTGCCGTTCAAGGAGAATATTAAATGGCCAGAAGCAAAGTACGCAATATCAAAGTTATATCTTGGAGGTAGGTTCTCGGAATAATAATGCAACCATAATGATTCTGCCTCATTAGAGATCCGAGTAGCTAACCTTGCTCGAGGCCACTGTTTAGGTGTAATTGTGTGGAAGCTTTTCTTTTCTTGTACCATGTTTTAGTCAATAATAAAGCCAAAGGAATGCTTGATAATTTCCAACAACATTATGTTATTGTAAACTAATCGCTAATCGTAAACTATTTTGGCAATATTTTTATATAAGTGATTAGTAGAAAGGTCATTGACTTTTCCTAGATGGAATATGGTGAATTTATTTTATCAAAAGTTGGGGATTTACAAAGTAACTTTCCATCTTTTTATGGAGACTAGAGGTTGGCCCCGTGAAAACTTGACCATTGTAAAAACTTCTCTATTTTCACCCCATGCTATAAATAAAACATGTGATTGGAATTTATTCCATTTGTTTGGATTTTCTGTTTATATTTCATTATTATTTCGTCACCAGCATGGCAACCCATAAGGCCCATGTAAGTTTTTAAAACTTTAAATTAATTTTTTGTTTTTTTTCTTATTATGATTTATAAAGGGGTTCTGCACATCTACAGGCAAATATCTTTCTAACAGTATGCATAGATTTTACCTGTGATGCATAGGAGCTGAGAAATAAGGTTTTCAAGAAACATGCTTGCCTATTACTATATAGGATTATTAAACTGGATAATTTGAAATTGGTGCTGGGAAAATAATAGTTTAGATACTTGCAAAGTGTTGAGAATTATGCATTGTATACATTATTGATTTTAAAAGTCACATATTACACGCACAACAAACACAAACACAAACACAAACACATACACAAACACATACACAAACACAAACACTCTTTGTCCCCTGATTAAAGTTTTGCTCAAGCAATATAACATTTTTGTTACTGTATTTACAAGTTCTGATGGTCTTCCCTATAAAAGATTTTTAAACAATTTGATGCTATATTGGCATCCAAGTTAAAGAGTATAATTTTCTTTTGCTTCCTCTCCCCCTTGCAAAACACGGGTAAAGCAGAATGACTAAATTAAGTTAAGAAATTAGAGCAAGAAAAGTTAAACTTCAGCAATGCTAGAAGGCCACCTACAACTGGAGGGAAGGATGTATCATATATTCATGGTTCTTGAACAAACCAGATGCATTTCTTATAGCCAGCTTTTATGTAAGGTTAATTGAAACCCTACCCTGATCTGACTTACTAACCATTCGGGTAAAGAGTCTCTTCCTCAGCATTATATGTTGTACACTTAGAGTAGGTCATGCTTTGTTTGATTTAAGATCCGATATGCCTCACTGCTTATTATTGATCAATGAAAATTATCTCTAGCAATCATCTGTTAGTGCATCAACCCCATTATTATTCTACAATACCCTTATAGCTTATGTCAAAAACTCATTGTCAATATATTTTTTTATGTTTCGACTGTATGTTTTTATAGATTTGCTTACCCTGAAAATACAGTACAAAATGAACTGGATATGAAAGGTTCATAAGCTGGCAATATGTACCAAGTGGGGTTTTACAATTTACATTCTTCTGATGGAACCAAACAAGTGGTCCTTCAGGGGCAGGATATTGCTATGCTGTGTACTCCCCCCACCCTTTCTTTCCACACATACTTATCTTTTACTCTTGTTTTATAGTACATTTATTACAGTAAAACAACATAAAATAAATGAGTTTTGTACAGACCTGGTGGAGGGATCCCTAAAATAAACAAAAATCAGATAAAGAAACTGTTTTTACTTGTTTTATATATTGAGGCGTAAAGTTTTTAAGTATGCATCAATTCACCAGGGTTGTGCAATTATGTAAAAAAACTTTTGTTCAAGAGCAACATTTTGAACAATAACACAAGTAGCTTTTTATTTCTTTATAAATTGGTTACCCTGCTTAAAGGAAGTGTTCCTTGAGAAATGTAATCTAAGTGTAGCAAATTGGAGTTTTTAAAATATGAACATCTTTTTTTACAAATAAATTTTTTTTTCTGAAATAAACTAAGCTGTAATCCACAATTAGATTAAGTGTAAAGAGATTTCAGTTACTAATGCAAAACCATTCATTTTATGCATAAGTACAATTTTGACTCTATTCTAAATGAACCCAATGGCTATATGATTGAATGTGTTTTGTTAAAAAACAATAATGTATATGTACGTTTTAAGTTTGTAACTCCTTCTATACACTTGCCAAAACATTTAAATCAACCAATGTATCTAGTGGTTAGTAATAAATGTTCATGCATTACTTAATATTTTTTACCAATAAAGTATGCTTTAAATTCTAAAAAAATTATTTAAAAAGGAATTTGACTATCTTACCTTAATATCTGTTTTACTGTCATGGGTTTATTAGGCAGGTAGGGTATTGATATTTTCTGGGTCCCCTGAAAAACAAAAATAAATCAGTGAAAGAATTTTTGTGTCAGTTTATATGTAAAAAATAAACCCTAATATCTTGCAGTTTGGGGGAGCGAGCTGGTCTAGTGGTTAGAGTGCGGGACTTAGGTTCCAGAGGTCCCGGGATCAAAACCTGCCAAATAACCAATGGGTTTTATCCATATGATAATGCCGCAACTCCTAGGTCTAGCCTGAAGTAATGTGAAAAACAATATCAGGCTCGTGCCTAGCGTCCTAGGACAAAAAGAAATATAATCAGATAATACTAACCAATTATAATTTCTTTTTTAACTGATATAGGCCTACACAAAACATGTAGTATTATTTTCTCTCTCTATGACTGTATCAACCCCATTATTATTCTACAATACCCTTATAGCTTAACATTATGTCAAAACTCATCATCAACGTATTTTATTATACATAGTATATGGAGAAAGTATGGTTTCGTCAACATTTTCGAGTACGTATAGTGAATGATATCATATTATGTAATACCATTATCATCTTATGATGAGCAGCGACATTTCAATTAAACCATTTTGGATTTTAAATGTTGAATGAAGTTTTAAATTGACAAATGTTTTAACCAAATCCAGAAATAATTTAGGTTAGGTCCAAGGTGCAAAATTCTGAAGACATGAATGAATACAGCACTTGTCAGCGATTTCCATTCATAAATGGACTACTCTAAGAGTCCTTCAGATTCTTACAACTCATTTGATCTCTTGAACAGTCTATAATAAGAGCAGTCCTTCCCCTTATATCCCTTTAGAAGTCTATAATTAGAATCAGGTATTGTATATGCCTAATTACATATCTTGGACACAATAGTGCAATAGTGTATTGTTAAAATATTTGTTCTCTAATACCTCAAATTTGTTTATTAAAGTTGACCCTTCAACATTTCACTCTTAAATCGTAAATAGTTGGAAACAAACCTTTTGTTTTATAACTATACCTATTGGGTAGTCCACAATTAAAATATACCTCTAAAATAATACATGCATACCTCTTTCATAGTCTAGCCCTTTTTTACTCACAGGGCAATATTATTTTTGAGACATTATCTTAAAATACCGGTACGTAAATAAATAATGAATAACAGTAAATATTCAACAAATAAATGTATGCATTATATTTAAACCTAAATATTTGTATTGTTGATGTATTGGTGTTAAAACAATACATTTTGTAAGGTAATTTAAACAGACTTTGTCATCTCTGTCTGTTGTAATCATACAATGAACATGGATTGTTTGGCCGATTGTTTGATTTGGTAGTTTAAATGTTACAATGCGGGACCATAATAAATGGTTAAACTGTTCAATGTGGAAAACAAAATACTTTTGAAATGTACTGTACTCTATTCCATTTATCTTATACGCTATTAATGAATGATATTGTTTCATTTGATTCGATGTTGTATGGGATGGAAGTTGGATCCATGTTTTATTTATGCATTTGTTGAAAACTATTACAAATACAAACAGAAGAATATATACATTAGTTTGTGTAACAGATTTATAAAATATATTTTCATATATGAATATATTTAATTTAAATTCCTGTTCAGCAGGCCTACCAAAATCATTATGGTTAAAAGGCTGGACTTCTTCTTTAACCACTCGTTAAAATATTTTAACTTTAGTACAAACCCCAAGTTAAACAATAGATCCAAACTAACCTTACCTACTAAAACTAAGATTTTATCTATTAAAACAGTTTATATATGTTCATTTATATAAAAAAAATCATCAACAATTTCTGTCATTTATTGACTAAACATAGGGAAATACGCATAATTCACATATACATTGTAGAGCTCATAATGTAAATTAATAAAATAGTTTTCATGCAAATTGAACACTACCTATTTTAATGATCCAATTAGGGTAGACTTCCGTATCTGTTGGCACAAACAACCGAACGAAAATATCGATCGATATATCTATTATTCTATATATCGTTTGGTTAGTTAGGTAATGTTTGAAGGTTAACCTAATCCGACTAACCAAACGATATATCGAATGAAACAATCGAATAATCGATCATTTCATTCGGTTAATTGTGCCGACAGATACGGAAGTCTACCCTTTAATTACAGTGATTAAAACCACAATTCATTACTACATAATAACACAATTTCCTTGACGATAAAAAGTAAATTCCATAATTATTTACAATGTGTAATTTGAGTTTTCCAAACCAGTTTGATAATTTATACACTACTCCGAATTGTTAAATGGCAATCAAATTTTCTCTATTATTTCTCTACATGTTACTCGTAGAGATGAATTGTCATTACAATCTTAGCACTATTCTTTGTAAACCCCTTCTTCAATCCAGTCAAGGTTTATGTTTTAATGTAGTACAACGAATTTCCCTTCTAACCATGATAAACACTTAGCGATAATTGCCATTAAGCTGAGCAGCCACAACTAATATCCCAACATCATCATCAAAGGAGCCATTCTACACAACGATATTTGTTCTAAGCACGGTCATGCTTTTGAAGAAGCTATTAAGATGTTTATATAATTAATCCCTTTTTATGATCCACCTTTGACTAGAGATTCCATCCCCATGTTAAATTTGTAGCCAGTTTTTAAACCAAAATCGTCGTAGTTTATGTGAGCCATCGACAGAGTTTGCTGGCCTAAATTACAGATTTCCGTCGAATACACAATCTTTTTTACCAATTTAAACTAATGGAAAGCCTTATTGAGAGCTAGCTACTGTTATGACCCATCAAATTGGCCAGCAACAAAAAAATAAGGTGGGAAATAGGGTTTTAGTCACTAGCGCATTCGGTGACTGGCTCACACAACTACGTACTTTTTTTTAACAAAAATTGGCTACAGCTGGTCCATATAGATGGGACGTCTACTTCGGTATCCCTTGGCATAGTCAATGCTAGGACGCTGGGCCCTAACCAAGAATCTTTTTCAACTTCAAATTAGGCCTAGACAGCTGTAAAATAACCTAAGTTTAGTATAAAACAAAAATGTCACTATTTTTTCATAAAAAGCCAATTTTTACAAAAAGCTCGAAAGAATTGAAACTACACAAACATTTGTAAACCCACATACACTACGCGTTTTTCGATTATTAAAATATCTCCCAATATGTTAATTAATGCAACTTAAACTTCTAAAGACATTATTACATTATAAATGGACAAAAAATAATCAATCATATTATAAGCAAAGTAACAACTCAAGAATATTTACGTTTAAATTAACTTCACGAATCAAATTGTTATAATTAATTTTTCTAGCGAATGTTAAAGAGAATATTAAATTCAGTAATTTAGAAAAGTGTGACTTAATCAACTTTGGAGGGACGTTGAATAAATTAAGGTTTGACTCTTATTTTTGATGTTTTATTAAAACTCTATTTCAGTTGCTATAATTTGGTTTGGAATAATGATTAAAGTTGAATTAATTGATAAAGTTTTTACAGCTAGTTATTCCACCTACGTGAAGATAGTAATGATATTTTCTTCGAATTCTGTATGTATTTGAATCACATTATTCAATATGTTTTATGTCACTCAACTAACAATTTTAGAGTAGCCATACAGTCATACGGGTTAGAAATGACATTATATTACAGTATTGAATAGTCTACATTATGTGTAAGTTACACTTTAGACTTTAATGTTACTTCACACATTTACAATATAATAATACGTTCAGCTTATAGTACTGCGAGTTGGTAGTTTGGTATATAAATGGGAAAGTCAAATTTACGTCGAAAACACTACAAATAGAAATCGTAATTTGGAGCTACAACGATCGCCTTATATATAACAATTGAGTTAGATTTACTGTCTCAATTCCAAGAATACGTGCGTTACCTACACCGGACTTTTCTGTGTTGGGAATTTGTCGAAATTGTTCGTAGTAGAGTTTAAAAAAATAAATTTGTTATTGTGGCACTGTACTCTAACAGTGCAATAAAAAATAGAAGAACCATCTATCTATCTTCTATCTATCTATAATATTAAAACGAAACGGTGTTTTTTTATTTCACGATTCTGAATCAACCACTCGACGGATTTTCATGATTTTTGTGTTGAAATAAAGATAATTTTGAGAACTAGGGAATGTCGAAGCCATAATTTTAGTTTAGGGTCCCAGTTTTTTAGAAATTAAGTTTTAATTTTTGAAAAGTCTAGCAGCCGACGCTAAGATTCTAAACTAGCTTTTGGCATAAAATAATTTGCTTAACATAACAGCTGTAAACATTCAGCTTTTGTGTCACATTTCAGCATTTGGATAAAAGTGTAAAGACATACTTAGGGTTGACTTATTTATACTATGTGTAATGCTAATCATTTATATACGTTCAATTCTTCTGTAAGAGGATGGCAGATTAATTAAATATAGGCCTACATAGTAAAATACGAGGATGTTCAAATTATTTTTTAAAGCAATCTTTGTGATCTTCGATTTGTTTTTGTGCAATATAATTTGTTTTAACTAACAGCTGGTTAAATATAAACTATGAGGTTATTTTATTTTTGTCATTGATTATAGGAAATAAGTAAGATTAGTAGAGATAATTAGACCACAGGTTAAACCGCAGTTTTGACCAAAATTAATTAAACCACAGTAAAAATCGAGGCTCTGTACACGAGTCTTAATAAAAAAGGAATGCAAATTATTTTACTGCTCCACTTTTCAAGGAAAGATTAGAAAAATAACTGATTACTGAATTCCCGTACGTAGGACGGGCTAACACCTCGTTGTATTTAAAAATATTGTACTATTCGATATTGAAACACTTGAAGAAAGAACAAGTACAGTTAGATCTATAACGTTTTAAAATATAAAAAAATGATGTTACACACTATTGGTAAATATAACCGGAAACACTATAAGTTCGGGGAATAAAAATATGCAAATTTATCTAGCTTTGGGACGTTTTTGATAGTGCTCCATTGATCAATGTTGGCCATCATGTATCGATCAATTTTGTT